GGGTCTCTTGTGATACAATAGTGAATAATTGTTATCAGGACTGATTGTGAGGGTCAGAAATGTAAAGGTAGACGTTTTATAGCAAGGAGGGTGAGTGATTAACTTTTCAGTCTAGGAGCGGAGGTCCCTAGGCCCATCAAGGGAGAAGAGCAGAGAGCGGGACCGTACGCAGAGAAGCAGTGATGCCTGAAATGGAGCCAGAGATGATGACAAGGAGCGATGGAGCAGCTGGAGACTTTAGATCCAGAAAGGGAGAGCAATTGTGTGCTGAAGACCTGGTGGGTATGGGGAAGGACTGCATGGAGGGGATTGTAACCATGGCAATGAGAAACAATATATGATAGAATGAATGTAAAACTAATGTTCTCCCATGTAAACTATCACATAATTCACAATAAAACATTTAAGAAAAAACAAAACAAAAAAAGTAATGAAGGAAAAAAAAGTAATGAAGAGAGCTCTTAGTTTATATTTTCATAAATTTCATTCTGTCTAGCTTACTAGAAGACATCTGGATTTTCATTTCATAGCTATTCTTCAGTCTTTAACATTAAACTGTATTGGTTTCAGTAGATGAAACTCTACCCCACACAATGTGAAAATGGAAAAATTTTTGATTCATCTTTTGAGATAACTCTATATGCTATAATAAGTTGACAAGGCTACTTACGATATGGATTCTGAGTCATATTAAAGAACTTTAAAACATTTTTGTTACATTGAAATTCATTGCTGTATTATGTTCTTTGAAAATATTGGTTCAACAAGTTATAAAGACTTCCAAATGTTAACATATAATAGAGAAAAAAAATCAGAGTTAACACTGCAAATCTCATCAGAGAAGTCTTGAGAAGCTGCCAGTCATGGTGGTAGTGGCAGTTATGTGCTGTGAAGTCAGTTCCAACTCACAGTGAACCTATCTAGGGTTTCTGAAGTTACAGCTCTTTACAGCAGCAGAAAGCCTCATCTTTCTCCTGAGAAGAGGCTGGTGGATTGGAACTTCTGACCTTGCAGTTTAGTAGGAGCTCCACCAGTAATCCACTATGCTACCAAGGTTCCTTACAGTTATGGTAAAATTTCCCCAAATTCTAACTTCTACAAAAGTGCTCAATTTTTATCACTGCCACCAAAATACTGTCAGTTTTTCCTTGAAGTAAGGCTTCCTACATTAATTTTTAAGAAAATGTCTGTCAGATATCAAAGACTATCCGTTGGTCATTCCTTTAAGAAAAGATGGTATTGTGGTCCATAAAAAAGCTAGTTCATTTTTCATTTCAAACAACTGCTCGTGAATTTCCCTCCAGACAACCATCATTCTCTGGTGTGCAGAGGGATTTATGCATACTTCCCATTTGTCACACAGAGAATATAAAATGGATCATTTTTACTACTTCATAAAGAACCACCTTCAATGATACTGGCTTTTTTTGTTTTAAACTGCACGTGTGTGGTAGTGAAGAATATAGACACAACATTCTGGATGATTACCTTGCTCTGTGCCCAAATGCCAGTAGGTTTACCATCACGACTTCCATACCAATAAGTGTAAATGTTGACCACAAGAACTGCAATACTAGTTCTATAACTAATCTCCCCACACTCACTTTTTCTTCCAATTCCTTCCTTCTACTGCTGCTACAGTGATTTTTCTTGGATCCTATTACTGGCTCTTTAAAACTCTTCGAAGGGTTCTAAATGCCCTTAGAATGAAATCCAAATTTCTTGTAATATCCTGGTAAGACTCTCTATATTTATCCCCTGCCTACATTTTCAATATTTTTTCATGTCCTCTGCCCTAATTTACAAAGTATCTGTCAAACCAGATAACTTTCTTTTTCCTTGAAAAAATTATATCCCACTTCAAGGTCTTTGCAAAAAACCTTGCCAAAGAATGCTCTTCTGTTTCTTCCCACAGCATTCTATTTACCAGACAGACTCCAACACTACCCACCCTTCAGAGAAGTTACCCTGACTGCCCAATCAGGGGCAGTTTCCCTCCATTTCTTCTCTACACTGTTTATTATCTAGGAAGGACTTACTAGAACTTGTATACAGTTATTTATCTTTTTATAATTTGTGCTCCCATTAGGGGTCACCTCCCATCTTTATACATAATTGGTACAAATATTTACTGAATCAAAAAACATTATTTCTCAAATATTTCTATTAATCAACTAGAAATCACTCTAAAACATTAAGTTATACAATGCAGTATTAATCAATCTGTCCTCCAAAAGTGAAATTCTGACTACTTCAACAAATAACTGGATCTTATATATTTAAAAAACCAACTCATTCTCTATAGCTGTATCTTCCTATTTAGGATTCATGAACTTACCATGTGTGGCTTCTAGGTAACCAGGTATCTTTGCCAACTTTTTCAATGCAAAACTTTTGAGGTCCATTACTTCCTAAACCCGGAAACAAGACAACAGTTATGTGGTCCTTTAAACGTTTTGATTTTGACAACTAGTTACATAGCATATCATATAAATGATACAGAGTAAACTAAATTAAGTTGCTTCTATCCACATTGCTGCAGAGACCTGTCAATAAGAAGAGTATCAGTAGAAATACTCTAGACTCTTGCTCCCTTTTCAATCACCCCTGGAACCAAAGCAATGGCTAACTGGGCTAGGGGAGGAGAATTTTATTTTTGTCTTACAAATGTATTTGACATCAAGCATTCATTTGCTCTTTGTCTGCTACATGCCTTATATACAGCACAGAAAACTAATCCTTAGATTCAAGTCTACCATATATCAAAAAGCCACTATTATTACAAAATTATCTATAGAGAAACTGTAGGAAACTGCATTTACCCATGAGCTCAGCAAATCCTCCTAGAGGTAAACGGCAGGTTCCAGTGACAAACTGCAAAAGTCGCATTCTTACTTCATTGTCTGTCTCTTTCACAAACTGTGTGACAAAATCAAAGTACTTTAATAGAAAATAAATATATCATCAACAATAAAACCTAATAGACATTTGAAGGAATGAAAAAATAACATTCAACTTGAAACTGGTTCAAAAGGTATATGACAAAAAAAGTGGTCATGCTGTTAAGTGCTGTTGAGTCAGTTCCAACTCATAGTGACCCTGTATAGGGTTTCCAAGGAGTGAATGGTAAGTCTGAACTGCCAAACTTGAGGTTCAAACTAACCTTGTGGTTCAGTATATTGTTGTTGTGAAGTGCTGTCGAGTTGATTCCGACCCATAGCAACCCTGTATAGGGTTTCCAAGAAGCAGCAGGTGAGCATGAACCACCGACCTTGTAGTTCAAACGACTTATCAGTCTGACGCATTAGCTCACAGTGCCACACCAGGACTCCAGTGTATGATCCCGTACTTATTATTTATTTAGGCTAGGCACTGTGCTAAGTTCTGATATGAATCTTATTTCAGTGAATCCTTACAACAACACTCCAGGTTGGTCAGGATTATTATGGCATCCTAGTAGAGAGAGGGAGTTCCATCAACAAGATGGCAGACTGGGTAGACAGACAGTGAAGAGCTCCATCACCAACAACACAGAATACCGGACCAAACAGGCTTAGGGAATGGGGCTAGAACTCTGACCCACATATAAAGGAATATTTAGAAGCTTGGAAGGCTTACAGCTAGGGGGATTTGTAGCAGAATCAAGAAATACATTGCTTTCCAATTCAAAACACTCAGCTGCTCCTTGAGC